AAATCAGGTTAAAACAGCAAGAAATGGTAATTGCTTGACATGAATAATAACACATAAATAAGCACTTTGCATAATTTTAGCAGCAAGATTTTTCTTTTATTGTTGAAAAAAGTTGAAAAAGAAACATACATTTTCACTCAAAATGGCTTGACCACCGGCTACTTATTACGGCATACCTCGTAACCATAGAAACTGATCATCACTGAACTTGTCTCAAAATGCGTGCGAGGGACAAACGAACATCTACTGANTTCAATCAAATGATGCATTCTTACAAGTTTTACTCTTTTCTTAGGGATCAAAGTCTTGAAACTGGGTGAAATACATAAACATATTAATAATTAACAAGCGTTTTTACTTATTAACTGAGATTTTCCGACAACCGACAAAAATCAAAAAGTTTAACCGACTACCGACAAAGATCGAAAATTTTAACCGACTACCGACAAAGTAAGTGAATTTTAACCGACAACCGACAAGAAGCTACAAGTGGACCCCCCACCTGTCCCATTCAGACCCTCTTATTATTTTTTTTTTATCTTTGTTTCATTTATAAATCATCAACATTCAACTGCTTAAATCCGATCGACGACAAGGAAAAACTAACACATGCACTAGCTAGGATAGACAAGTAATTTCCTTAAAATTCAGAGCACGACAAAAGGTATTTTAAGATCGATTATCGAGGAAGCGTAACGAAGAGCTGTTAGTGTATTTTAATGTGTTCAAAACGCCCGTTTCAAAACGTGTGTTCAGGGAATTTGTGTAAAATAAATACTAAAACTACAACGCCAAGGAGTAGAGTAACTAAGCATCCATTTATATGGCTCTTAGCTTTTTTAGCCCCGGCCACGAGGAAATTTTGTGCCGCCGAGGAACAGTGATTACGCTCTTGCGATCCAGAGCGCGGGAAAGTTTTTCATTCTATGAACACTATGATTTGTCACCACTTATAGTTCTGACTTTTCTCTGTAAACTGTTTGAAGCAGCTCTAAAACTGTTGAAAATATATTTGAAAATACGTTCTTGATGCTAATTACACTAAACAGGTGTGTGAATTGTTTTCTTTGGCAATACGATCATAAAGTGCACAATTTGACAGACAAACTCGAGCGCAGCTGCCTTCAAGCAATTAAGCCCAGGCTTAGCAGATAAATATGAGGTAAAAAAAGTGCATATTCATCAAGTGTGCATAAAACATGCAGTTTTTATAACATTTGCTTTTCGATCGAGGAAAAAATGGGAAATCAGTTATGAAACCAAGAGTCTAGACTAAATTATAATGGGTTCTTCTTCAACAAAAACACAAGACTTGTTACTCCTTTTACCGCCTTTGATTTTTTTACGAACTTCTGTACTTGTTGGCTCCAATAATATTGCTCGATAACGTTGTGGCACTTCACAAAAAACCCCACTCCCCCCGCTGAATTCATATCAATGCCTAAGAAGTCTTGGTGATTGGCTATAGGAGAGGCTTATTAGCATATATGGAACCTTCGAATCATTTACTGGGTGAAAACGATTTCCTGTTTTAAATATCACCTTAAACGGGGTTAAGGTTGGGTTGTCCAGTCTAACTAAGAATCAATAGGTTCTTGTTCAACAAAAATACAAGGCTTGTTACTTCTTTTACTCCCTTTGATTTTTACGAACTTCTGCCGGTACTACAATTATATGTCAGTGGCACTTTACAAGAAACCCCACTCCCCCGCTTAACTCATATAAATGCGTAAGAAGTCTTCGTGATTGGTTATAGGAGCGGCTTATTAGCATATATGGAACCTTCGAGTCATTTACTTGGTGACAACGATTTCCTGTTTTAAATATCACCTTAAAGAGGGTTAAGGTTGGGTTGTCCAGTCAGTATAAAATAAGGAGAGCAAAGAGAGAGAACAAAGTATTGGCTTCTAAACAGAATTTAAACAATGAGAGTGAGGAAGGTACTAAAATAACAGTTTCAAAATCATGTCAGATCAATTAGTCGATCCACCGAACCGAGATGTTGAGCTTTTTTTATTGGCCAGACTTTGCAATAAATTATTTATGAATGTCTAGTTACAAATTAAAAATGCAATACGTGCTGAACAGAAGAAGTTACAACAATAGACAGACAGTTAAGAATTACTAGGAGATATTTCATACCATTATCATTTTTCGAATTTTTATCTTTAGCATTCCCTTAAATTTTTAAAAAGGTTGAGTTTGATCGTCCGGGTGAACGTAGTCCTGAATAGGACAATTGTTGTTGACAGTGACTGACGTTTCGACAACCTGTGCGGTAGTCATCTTCAGAGTCAAAGTGAGTTGTATCACGTCAGTTGATGGCATTATACTCTGGTTATTGATCTGGTTTGTCAATTATGTCGCGATGTTATTGGTCGTCTGTCAGTTAAGCCGTGATGTTATTGGCTATGAAGACTCGTAATCAGTGATTGGTGCGTTTCGATCTGTCTATTGTCACAGTTAAACAGTCGTCTATTGTTGGTCAAATTGTCAGTTCTCCAGTTGTTCTCTCGTAGTTAGTTTTGCTTGATCTCGTCAATAAGTCGTTTGTACGGCGCTGGTAACTGTTGGCTACGATTCAGTGGCGTTTGTTCTAAGTTAGTAAACCAGCTTTCTAAAGTAAGACGTTGATAGTAGTCTGTAGAATACGTGATACAGGTCGCAGAGTCCCAGTCAATTTGATGTTTCGTCATTAAATGGTGCTCAGCAATGTGATTGTTGACGTCACCATTCCTCGTCGCGCGTTTGTGTGCGGTCAGTCGCGTGCTTAGGTTTCTGCCGGTTTCACCAATGTAAGAAGCCTGGTAGTCACAGCATTTGATCTTTTATACTGCTCCCTGTCTGTCCTCCGGTTTGTCTTTGTCCTTGACATTAGTAAGCAGTCGCCGTAAAGTGGTTATCGGTTTGTGCGCAACACAACATTTTATGAGTCTTTTAGGAACTTTTTGGTGATCAACTACTGCTAAAAATGAAAAAGAAAATGTGGTTGATAGCACAGTACGCGTTAGACATAAACATGGTGACATCAAAGTATAGCCAAAAACTGCACGAGAAATGCATAGACCTGTCATGTAGCTACGTTGAGAAAAAGATTCTCGGAAAAGATAATCGCAAATACGCGCTTAACACCATTTTTAAACAGGTGTGTGAAATGTTATCGTTAGCAATACGATCATAAAGTACACAATTTGGCTGGTAAACACAGGAAGCACAGTAGAAGCTGCCTGCCGTTAAGCAATTAACAGGCTTAACAGGAAAATATGAGGCAAAAATAAATGCCTGCTATCATGTGTGCATGAAGAAGCCAGTTTTTATATCAATTACTTCTCGATCGAAATAAAAACGGGAAATTCTAAAAGTTGGAGTCTGCTGTCGGCAAAGGGAAACTAGCAGGTTCTTACTCAACAAATAGACGAGGCTTGTTCCTTCTTTGACTGCTTTTAATTGTTACGAATTGTTGGTTACAATTTCATTGCTCGATAACGCTGTGGCAATCATTTTTATAATGAGCAGAGTGACTCAAACGCTTTAAAACTCATATCAATGTTTGAGTAAGTCTTGCAATTGGCTAGGAGAAACTCATTAGCATTGAACCTTCGAGTTATTTACTTTGTCAAATCGATTTTCTACTTTAAATTTCACTTTCAAGCTTGAGTTGTCCAGTGAATATAAAACCAAGGAAAGCAAAGAGAGAGAACGAAGAATTGGTTTCTAAACAAAATTTAATCAATATCACACAGTAACCACTGAAGAGCATCTCCTTTTGTATGGCCCGCACAATGAAATCGGAGGAAGGACATTTTTGGAAGTTTATAACCTCTGTTGCTTGCATTTTCATCGCTTAACAGTATTCCAGGATTGTATTTTTTATGAAGTTATTATTATTATTATTGTTATTATTATTATTAATATTAAATTCTTCACTAGTGTAGAGCTGTTAGTTTATCCTAATGTGTTCAAAACGCTTATTTGAAAACGTATGTTGAATTTGCGTCAAATAGATATCAAAAATACAACGCCAGGCCAAGAACATTTTTAATGTGGCTCTTAGCCCAACGTGGAAGTGTAAAAGAGTCATCAGGGAGTCTTGTGGTCAAGAGCGCAGGAAATATTCTCATCTACGGACGATAACAGTTTATCGCTATTGTAGTTTTGTCTCTTCTTGGTAAATCGTTTGAAACAGTTCCAAGGCTGGATCGCCCGCCATTGTCTGTTGCCTTCTGTACAACGCAGTATATGCATCGCGGCCATCAGTTACGTTTCAGACGTTTTAAACTTTAATTTTTGTCCCCTTGCGAGGCCTTAGCACAATAATTGTTATTAAAACCGACCTGGCTTAAACTTCCTGTATGGCTTAAACTTCCCGTTTGGCTTAAACTTCCTGTTTAACTTTTTGGTTCATGTATTTTTTTTGCAATGGGCGAACGGCGTACGTGCCACAAAAACATGCGGTTTTTTTCTTTGCTCAAGCTCTTTTGACGAAGTAAACATTACTGTCAAACCTTGGGGTGGCGCTGAGAATTCAACAGATGTTTATAATTGTCCGTTTTATTCCCTCCTTTTTTTCGGCAGAACCTCTTCTGTAACTTAGCGATTCTGCAGTAATTAAGAGTTGTTAGTTGTACAGTTGTACTTCACCTGCCTACGCTCCCAATATCCGTCCCTGAGTTTTATTTACCGCCCAACCTTTAACAATACGTGGCCTATGCTGTCATATTTCGCAGTCATGCCAGACTTAATCCTCAGTTAAGTACGCTAACGGCAGTCGTGGCGATTTTTTATTCGTGAGTGTTCCACGTACCTCTAAATCTTAACATATTCAGTCAAAAGCGCATTTTTGCGACTTACGCCTGTACAAGAGAACATTTCATGAGTCTTCTAAGACCTTTTCGATAATTACTACTAAAAATACATTGATAGTCATGATAAATTTGTTCGCGAGTGTTCCACGAACCTCGCACTCTTAACATCTTTAACCAAAACCACATTTTTGCGACCTACGCCTGTACAAAAGAACATTTTATGAGTCTTTTAAGAGCTTTTCGGTAATTACTGCTAAACATGAAACAGATAATCGGGTTGATGACACAGTACATGTTAGCCATAAAAACGGTGACTACATCGTATATCCAGAAACTACACGAGAAAGGCGATGACCTGTTCTGATACTGTAGGATTAAAAAGTTGATAGAGTAAGGTAACCAGCAAAGCACAAACACTGTTACGATAGCAATGGACATTTGAAGCACGTTTCTGTTTCTTCTGTCCCGCTGTTGCTGACTGTAGGCGGACTGTTCACCTGGGTGTGCCTGTGTCTTGAGCTTGATAACAATGATGGAGTAAAGAGTGACTAGCAACAGCACAGGGATGTATGTAAACAGACTGTAGTAAGCTAGTACGAAACTGGCATAAGACGATGACTCTCGGAATACTTTCTCCCATTCCATATCACACCAAAATTCCTCTGGGGATTCAACGAGCTCGAAAGTGAACAAGTCTGGTGAATTGACCGTTACGGCAACTATCCATGTAGCGAGAATAAAGAAGGGACACAGCTTGGATCTGATGAGTGGTGAACGGAGTGGAAACACCACGGCTCCAAAGCGATCCACTGCTATCAGAACCAGATTCTGAATCGAAACGGTATAGGAAACTATGGTAAAGAAAGGGGCAAGCTTACACAAGGCCTGGCCAAGCTGACCACCGATAACTAAGGAGTTGGTGCCGTGCAAGACTAACAGGTTCCAAGGTACCAAGAATATTGGATGCAGCAGATCAGATGAGGCCATGTTTGCGATGAAAAAATTTATCGGTTTTCTTAAGTTCGGCGTTTTATAAACGATGATAACAATAAGAGAATTTGCGACCAGTGAAACGATAAAGATCAGACAGAGAATAACGGTTGCTCCGATTTTTGACGCAGTGGAATCTAACTGATCTAAGCAGCTCCAAGGTCCGCTGGATCCGTTCGCCGTTGAGTTCATGCTGAGTTTTGCGACGTATCTACAGAGTCGTACACATGCAGTCAAGTAACTTTGACTTACTGCTCTGTATATTGCGTATTCTGTTTGAGTGGCAGAACTTTTATTGACAATTGTACGCCCCCTGCGAAGCCACATTACAGCTGTCCTCTGAGGCCTTCAATAAGTGAGTTTGTTTGTAATGTTCCGGCATTATTCGCCAACCGACCTTTTGACAGAATTGAAACAGTGGGGTATTAAAATGTTATAAACCATCCAGAACACTTCATTTAGGTCATGTGGTTGTATTAAGAAATCGATTGAGGCTGATTAAACAACTGTGTTTTAACACATTAAAAAATGATATCTTTGGTAATACCATCATCAACTACACAAGTGTGACAGTTAACCACAGGAAGCATAGGCGAAGCTGCCCTCAGGCCATTAAGCCCAGGCTTAACAGGTGAATATGAGGAAAAAATAAGTGCATGTTATCACGTGTGCATAAAACATGAAGTTTTTATAACATTTACTTCTCGATCAACCTATTAAAGGGAACACCAAAAGTGTGCTGTCGGCAAAATGAAACTGGCACGTTTTTCTGACAAGGGCTTGTTACCCCTTTGACTGCTCAGTTTTAATTGTTACAAACTTCAGTACTTGTTGGCTACAACTGTCTTTTTCGATAATGTTGTGGCTCTTCATTTTTATAGAATGACCAGAAAACCCACCCGCTTTAATGCCGTAAATGATCTCACAGACGCCGAGGGCGTTTAATAATTTTAGGGTTCCAACAGGGGACGTTTAATGACAGGAGCCATTTAAAAGAAGAGAAAGGAGTTAATTGTCATTTATGTAACAACCTAATTTTCAAAGCTAATATTTTTTCGGCGAAAATGCAAAGAGAGCTTATGAATAGCGGACTAGCCTGTCTATCAATTGCTACCGCCTAGCTAGGCCGCCTAGAGATCCTTATCCGCGCTCTTTCAAATCTCAACTTCTATGTCAGTATCCTAGTTCAGGGTCATTTTGTTGTCATCTCCAATCAATTCGAACTTTTAAATAAAACTTAGAAACACTGAACAAGATGCAATGCTCACAGTCTTGTTAATCAAGCAGGCAAGTGATTCATGGGGGGCGTCTACAAGACAAAGAGTTTTTTTAGCGAGGGCGTCTAATGCAAACATAATATCATAGAGCGGAGCTTATTAAATGAGCCAAGAGGCGTTTATTTGAAAGGGGGTGTCAGTTTAAGTCATTAGATCATTTATGGTAACTCATTAATGCCTAAGTAAGCCTTTTGTAATTTGCTAGGAGAGACTCATTAGCATTGAACCTTCGAGTTATTTACTTTGTCTGAAAGAAATTCTTTCTTAATTGCTCCTTTAAGCCCTTTAAAAGCTTGGGTTATCCAGTCGAAATAACACAAGGGGAGCAATGAGAGAGAACAAAGTATTGGCTCCTAAACAAAATTTAAACAATAACAGGGAGGAAGGTACTAAAATTACAGTTTCAAAATCATGTCAGTTAGTCGATCTACCGGAAGGTGTTAATCGAAAATAATTGGCTAGACTTTTACATCAATTAACTACGGATGTGACTGGAGGACAAATTAAAAAAGGTGATATACGTGCTAAACAGCAGAATTTACAACAGTAGATGTCAATCTTAACAAAATTAATACACTTAAGAATAACTAGGAGATATTCCATAAATTATTGTTATTCGTATATCTTTGTTTCATTCAGTTTCATTCATCAACTGCTTAAATTCGATCGATAAAAAGGAAAAATAGTACACTAGCTACAAACACCATAAATAAGGAGGATAGATAATTAATATCCTTAATTCAGGTCACGACCAAAGGTATTTTCAATAAGTATTTTTCCCTAGAAAGTGTAATTTATTCACACAGGATATATAATTATGTTTCATTACAACAAATTCATGACAAGAGAAGGTTTCTTTTGATCACTATTTTAGACGTTGAAGTTGCAGCGTAAATCTTATACTCAATTTATCACTAGTCGGTAGTTCTGTCTTTTCTCTGTAAACTGTTTGGAGCAGCACCAAGACTGTTGAAAATGTAGTTGAAAATACGTGCTTAATGCAAATTTTACTTAACAGGTGTGTGAAATGTTATATTCATTAGCGGGGAGTCTTGTGGTCAAGGGTGCAGGAAATTTTTTCATCTACGAACACTAAAAATTTATCACCAT